GCAATGCCGTGCTGGATTTTATGTTCCAGCCGCTGAACGCAATGTGGGTGGACGGTTCACAAGGCTTAAATTTAGGTGGCGAGTGGCTTATTAATTTGCGACTGGCCGAACATGTTTTGTTGGTGAGCAGCTCGCCACCAGGTTTCAGGCGCATGTTAGCGGATGTCTCCACGGCGTGCGCTCGATGAAGGCTCGCTTTACATCCAAGCAAAACAGCGGACTTGTCGAATGTGCGGGCAAGACGCGGCGAGGCCGCACAAGACCAAATTTCGGTGGACGGGATGCCGATCAAGGTTCTCAAACGCGAGGAGATTCGATCAAGTTCTTGGGCGGAAAAGCTTATGTTCAGGATCCCACGGCGTAGAATTGGACAACCAGTTTCACTGCGCATGGAAGAAGTTTTCCCTCTTCAAAGATGAGTTCAAGAACGCAAATTACCCGCTTCGCTTCAGATTGCGCCTGTTCGACTCCGTGATCACCCCGTGCGCGCTGCTCGGCGCAGCCTGCTGGACATTGACAAGTGAAGTGGAGAGAAAATGGTTGAACACACAACGCCCAATGGAGAGAAATGTGGAGTCATGGGTGCATTGGCCTCAACGCGCAGCACGTGACATCGAAAAACAGTTGGACACCACAAGCAGTTCTGACAGGACAGTGCAGCACAGAACACGGAAGTGGACAACTGCTGGAAAATTAGCGCCGGATTACACACAAGTGGTTCTACAAGGTATTATCGTGGAGCCCTGGACGCATTCAAAGCACGAGAGACCGCATCGGCCGGCCAGCGAGAAGATGGATTGATTGCATAGTGGAAGTCTCCGGGCAATGTTGGCAAGCATCAGCTGCATTTCCTGACACTTGGGCCAACTGGAAGGTCACTACACCTAGCTTTGAGCAGCTGGCTCTCCCCCCCCTCTCCTGTCTTCTCCTCCTCTTTTTCCTCCTCCTCCTCCCCCTCCTCCTCATCCCCCTTCTGATTCGCTTCACCACTTGTACTTTCAACTTCGCTGCTCCAGGCGGGCCCGCCTGCCTGGCAGCAGCGCGCCGCCCTGCCCATCATTTGGGCCAGTTTCTTTTCGTGCAGTGCGCGATTCGACTCGTCTCGACAGAACGCCAAAAAGGCATACGCACTCACGCACACACGCACACACGCACACGCACGCTCACACGCTCACGCGCACACGCACACGCACACGCACACGCACGCGCACGCGCACACGCACACGCACGCGCACACGCACACGCACACGCACACGCACACGCACAAGCGCACACACACGCACAAACGCACGCACACGCACATGCGCACGCGCACACGCGCACACGCACACGCACACGCACACCCACACACACGCACACACACACAGGCACACACAAACACACGCACGCACGCACGCACGCACACACGCACACACGCACACACGCACACCCACACCCGCACCCGCACACGCACACGCATACGCACACACACACACACGCACACACACACACACACGCATACGCACACGCACACATGCACACAAGCACACACGCACACACGCACACACGCACACACGCACACACGCACACACCGCACGCACACACATACGCACGTACGCACGCACGCACAAACACATATACACACACGCATGCCCGCACGCATGCACGCACACACACACACAGCCACCGAAGCAAATTAATCGCTGGTCGCTGATATGGGCGAGGGAAGGACTTGGCGATCCCATCCATGGGCATGTGCCCAGCCACGCCCCTTCGAATTTCAATCCACCCCAGAACAACCTCTGGCCGGCGATGCCCTGGGCAAGACCGGATCCCTTGGCGTGTTCTCTGCGGGCATCTGCCAGGCCATTGCCTCCCCATGTACCTACTCGAGCCCACCAGTCGCCCACGCCCATCGTTGCGACTTCAACCATATCCATGAAGTCAGGCCCCAGACGGCGATCTGGACATCAATCGCCCATCGCTGAAATCTTTTGTTTCACGCCGCACGCGGGCCGATGCCGACGGCGACCGCTAAGGCCGATCTCACAAATATGCTTGCCCAAGGGGAGTGTGGCTCATAGCCGTGGGGCAGAACGGCACCTGTATTAGCCAGACTTCCAACCCCATCAACGGCTGGCAGAGACGCGTGGTTGCCCGCCGGGACTGTTTCTGTTGGACGATCCGCGATGGCGGCCGTTACCGGCTCTACCACCCCTGAGGAACTCCGTGTTTCGCGCTGCCGCCGTATGGGTGATGCCTCGAATTTCAGTCAAGGTTGTCATGTAGGTAGGGTTTTGCCATGGATAGCTATGCACAGCGCAGGGGCTTGCTACCGCGAAGCCTAGCACACTTTCAGGGTCCCGGCGGGGCCGAAATCTGGAGGGCGGACCGTGTCTTAGTGTTTGTGATGTTGACGCAGGGCTTCCTGATTCAGAAAGGGGTGGACCCTTTGCATGCCTGAGCCCCATTGTTGGTCGTAGATGGGTGTATGTTCTGGAGACTAGGACACACGACGGGTGGGCCTTCATGGGTGCCGGTTCGATTAGAGAAAGGCGGGATGAGAAAAACCAGACAAGTGAGCGGAGGGGTGCGCAGAGAGTTCGGTTCATTGGTAGGTGGTCGCGATTCTCTACGTATGCACACAACGTACTCGCTGCCGGGACAGCATGCTTGGCATGATGGTTCGCGAGGAAACTTTTAGGTTACATAATGCCCGTGTGCATTACAATGTTTGCGTGTACCACAGCGCTCGCGAACACCAAAGAGATTGCGAGCACGAGTTGGCCAGTGTGAGCAACAAGCCTGTGTATATCAGAAAGAGCGTGTTCTACCGTTGCTGACAGAAAACCGGGGGGGGCCACTGGGGGTTTCCAACCTGTCCCATCGAAAACCGGAGGGGGTCACTGGGGGTTCCCATCCCTTCCTCCCCCCCTTCGTCCATCATGAAAAGTGGGGGATCACTATCAGTTCGAACCCCTCCCCCCCCCTCCTGGAAAACGGGGGGGTGTCACTACCGGTTCGAATCCCCCTCCCCCCCGCCTCCCTTCCCCTCCTCCCTCGCCGCAACGACATCCCCCCCTCTCCCACTCCGGATGGGGGACTAGTGGGGACAGTGGTTGGGACGGTGGTCGGAATGGTGGTGGGAATAGTGGGACCGTGGTGGGGTTAGTGGTGGGAACAGTGGGGGCAGTGCGACAGTGGTGGGGGCACTGGTGGGGACAGTGGGACAGTGGTGGGGACAATGGGGACAGTTGGACAGGGGTGGGGACGGTGGTGGAAGGGACAACAGTGGGACAGTGGTGGGGACAGTGGCGAGGGCGGTGGTTAGGACGGTGGTGGGACAGTGGTACAGTGGGGAGAGTGGTGGGGACCGTGGGACAGTGATGGGGACAGTGTGAACAGTGAGGACAGTGGGGCAGCACAGTGGGACAGTGGTGGGGACAGTGGGAACAGTGGGAACAGTGGGACAGTGGTGGGGATAGTGGGGACAGTGGGACAGTGGTTTGGACAGTTGGGCAGTGGCGAGTGGGATCGCGGTGGGGACAGTGGGGGGGTCAGTCGGGACAGTGCGATAGTGGTGGGGGCACTGGTGGGGAAAGTGGGGACGGTGGTGGGAACAGTGGGGACAGTGGGACACTGGTGGGGACAGCGGCGGGGACAGTGGGACAGTGGTGGGGACGGTGGTGGGTGGGGACAGGTGTGAGGGGATACTGGGACAGTGGTGGAGACAGTGGTACAGTGGTGGGGACGGTGGTGGTGGGGACAGTGGTCAGGGCGGTGGTGAGGCAGTGGGGACAGTGGGGACAGTGGTGGGAACAGTGGGACAGCTCAGTGGGACAGCGGCGGGGATAGTGGGGACAGGGGGACAGTGGTGGGAACAGTGGGAACAGTGGGACACTGGTGGGGACAGTGGGGATAGTGGGACCGCGGTGGGGGCAGCGGCGGGGATAGTGGGGACAGTGCGACGGTGGTGGGGGCATTGGTGGGGACAGTGGGGACAGTGGTGGGAACAGTGGGGACAGCGGGATACTGGTGGGGACGGTGATGGTGGGGACAGCGGCGAGGGCGGTGGTGAGGACGGCGGTGGGGATCGAACCGGTAGTGACCTTTCTGAAGGGGGGGGGTTCGATCCGGTAGTGAACCCCCCTGGTTTTCTGGAGGGGGGTGGAGGGGGGTTAGAACTGGTAGCTACCCCTCCCGGTTTTCTGGAGAAGGGGGGGGAGGGGTTAGGGGGGGGGGGAGGGGGCAGGGGATGGGGGGGGGGGGAGGGGTCGAGCAGGTGGGGGGTTATTTTCGGAGGGGGGGGGACCCCTGGGTTCCGGAGGAAGAGGGGGAGACATTTCTACATTAAAGCGGTGGTGGATCACGCTCTCTCGTATATCACAGTGCGCCTGTATTCAACAGTGCATGTGTACACCACAGATGTGGTGTACACCACACCGTTCGTGTACACCACAGGCGTGCGTGAGCACAACAGTGGTGTTGCACAGTGCCTATGTGCACCATGGCCCGTGTTTACATCGCTTTGCCTTGTACGCAATGCTTGTGCACGCAACAGTGGAACTGTACATAACGCCTGTGTACGTAGCCATGGCCGCCTACACCAGAGGGCTTTTACACACCATAGATGCTTCAGTCAGAACGTATGTGTGCACCATGTTGCACGTGTATCCGACAGTGCCAGTGTACACCATCGCAGCCGTGTGTACCACAACGCCTGAGTGCCGCAGTGCCTTTGCGTACCACGCCGCCCGTGTAAATGTGTGGTGTGCGTGTGTGCTGGCGTACCACCGACGGCTGCACCACAGGGCCTGTGCACACCACACAGCCTATGCACACTTTCAAGGTCCCGGCGGGGCCAAGATCGGGAGGTCGGAGCGAATCGTAGTGTCTGCAGTTTGCGCAGGGCTTCCCGATTCAGAAAGCGGTGGGTCTTGTGCGCGTCTGCGCCACAAAAGTAGGCTCAGATGGGCATATGTTCTGGGGACTAAGACACACGAGGGACGGGTCTTCATGGATAACGGTTCGTCTAGACTCTAGAGGGACGTCAAGGATAAGAAAACACGGGTGAGCGAGGGTGTGCAGAGATTTCGGCTCACTCGTCGCGGTCGCGCTTCGTTTTCGTATACACACGCACACAACGTACTCTCTCTTCACTGGGTGAATATTCATTCCGCAGGGACAGCATGCTTGGCATGATGGTTCCTCTCCGCGCTCTGGCCGTAGCCGCGTTGCTACGAGCGACTGCCGCTATCAAGATCGTGGAGGACGGGGACAGGGACGGGCCCGAGGTCATTACAGGGGAGACCGCTGCCGTGTGGCGCAAGATCATGGAGGCCAGCGCCAACGCAATGCAGTACCAACGAAATGCAGAGGAGGCGGCGAAAACTGCCGCGGAGGCCAGGGCGGTCGACGATGCGGCATGGGACGCAGCAGCGGCAAAGGCTGCAGCGGATGCCAGGGCCGCAGAGAAGGCGGCGAAGGCTTTTGCAGAGGCCAAGGCTACCGAGAAGACTGCCGCGGAGGCGAAGGCGGCAGAGAAGGCGGCGAAGGCTGCCGCGGAGGCCAAGGCTGCAGACGAGGCCGCCAATGTTGCTTCGGAGGCCAGTGTCGCGGAACAGGCAGCGAAAGTTGCGGAGGAGGCCAAGTCTGCAGAGGAGGCGGCTAAGGCTACCGCACAGGCCGAGGCGGCGGAGTTGGCGGCGAAGAATGCCGCAGCGGCAAAGTCTGTAGCAGATCCCAGGACCGCAGACGAAAAGGCGAAGGCTTTCGCAGAGGCCGAGGCTGCAGAGAAGGCTGCCGCGGCGGCCAAGGCGGCAGAAGAGGCGGCGAAGGCCGCCGCAGAGGCCGAGGTTGCCATGGAGGTGGCAAGGAAGGCCGCAACTGCCAAGGCTGCAGCGGCGGCCAAGGCCGCAGAGGCGGCCGCGGAGGCTCTCGCGGAGGCCAAGGCTGCCGAGGTGGTTGCCGCGGAGGCCAGAGCTGCAGAGGAGACGAGGACGAAGGCTACCGCGGCTACCACGGCTGCAGACGAGGTCGCCAGGGTTGCTTCAGAGGCCAGGGCCGCCGGACAGGCTGCGGAAGCTGCCGAAGAGGAGGTGGCGAAGGCTGCAGCGCCGCAAGCACAGACCAGAGCTGCAGAGGAGGCCGCGAAGGCCGCAGCGCCGCCAGCGCCAGCGTCTATCACGGAGGACCGCCATGATAAGGGGCGACCACAACCTTCTCCTCCGCCGACGGCGCCCCCGACGCTGGAGCCGACGCAGGAGCCGAGCCAACATTCAAATTTGAGGCTCCAGGAATCCCTTGCTCGTGTCACGTGCCAGAATGCTTTAAGACGTACGACCGCAACGGGGATGGTTGCCTCACCCAAGACGAGTGTGACTTGCAGATGCCCATCTTGGAATACTGTTTCATGGTACCCGCAACCTGCGGGCCAGAGAAGTGGGACTTGGATGATGACGCTTGCATCAACCTGACCGAGTTCGAAATGGTTTACGAGGTTAACCAATCAGTCTGCCCGACGGAGGTTCCCGAGCCGTGCGACGAGTGCCCTCAGGGCAAGTACATCGTCCCGAACCCCTGCGAGTGCGTAGACTGCGTTGGCGAAACGCGAAGGCGCCGCTCCATAGAGTGTACTCCCTGCCCAGCTCCCTTCGTGCCCTGCCAGGACCCCGACGCAGACGATTGTTGCGATCCTTACATCCCGGGTGCATCAAACGTTCCAAACGGAAGCACCTCGATTCCCGTGCATGTCGCGTATCAAACATGTACTGAGTTCTCATTGGGCGACAGTATCACCATCTCTGGAAGGTTATCGAGCGACCCGTCTACAACCGTCACGCACTCAACAGTCGTCATTGGGATCTCTCAGATTACTGGGGGATACGAACTCGATCTCAACGACCCGCTCCCTGGAAACTTTCAATATGACACGACAGTTCAGCAGGCTTGCACATCCACTGACGGGACTCAGGTGAGCGGCTCATTCTCTCCCTTCGCTGGTGGTTGTTGCTGCGCATGCGGCACTGATTGCTGCGAGACCACCGAGGTGTGCACTCTTTACCCCAACGGCACTGGTGAGTGCTCCAATGCTGGCCCGTACCCCGAATTCTCGACTCCAGCCCCGACCGTCGGGGCCAAGGGCGACCCGCACTTGGTCAACCTTCAAGGAGAGCACTTCGACATCAACCACGAAGGCACGTTCACACTTCTCCGTTTCCCGCAGGCTGTCGAGAAGGCGGCCGAGTTTTCCTTCCAAGCAGTCGTCCAGCCGGACATGGGGAAGCCGTGCACCACGTACATTACGCACGTGGAGCTATCGGGCGCTTGGCTCGGCGGTAAGTCCATGGAGATTCGCTGCTACCGCAAGTCCCATTCGAATGACACCGACGCGTTCCTCGGTGCCCGGCTGCTCGAGGGCAAGGGTGATTCCCCCTGGCAGACCATTGAGGAATTCGAGGCGAAGGACCTTGTGCTCTCCGACTCGGAATCGGACATCGAGGTTTCGCTAGACAAGGCGACCTGGTTCCCCAAGAAGCGCTCAAAGGCGGGGCCGACTGCGGCTGGTATGTTCACCTTCTCTCTGCGCAACAAGAGGAGCCCGACTGGCGCCAAGATCACCATTCGCCAGGACTTACCCGAGCAGGAGCACCTCAACGTGGCTGTGCGGCAGTTATCCCAGCTTGGCCGCGTGGACGTCGGCGGCCTACTCGGCTTCGACGCACACCCAGAGAGCCTGGAGCGCCCCTCTGCCGCGTGCGTCCATCACAGGGCCACGGCGCGCTACCGCATCGAGAGCCAGGACGACGCGGACCACGGCTACTATTTCCGGCCCGCGTGGAAGGACCGTTGGGACAAGATTCGTACTGGGGGTCGCTCGCGGGACAACGAGGCGGCCGCCAGCTTCATGGGCAGATTCGACGGCAAGAGCGGCCTGGAGAATAAGGTGTGCAAGTGCCCGAGCGATCCGCACGGCAGTGCCGCTGGCAGCATCGAAGGAGTACTCGTCGAGGAGGCGAGCTTCATGTTCGCCAAGGCGTCTTGGGAGTAGGCTGGGAGTAGGCTCGCACCGCTGAGCCGCGTCGCACTGGTATGGACGTGCGCTGCCGACGGCAACCTTATTCCCTGCCTCATTCCCCAGCGCTCTTGTCGGCCGCTCCCGTCCTCCTCGCCGCTGACGACGGCGAGAAAGGGGCTCGTCCGAGGTTTCCCTCTGATGCACGTCTGCTCTGCTGGTCTCTCGACGGCTTACTCGCAGGGCTGGCAGCGATGCACTGTCTGCTCCCCCATTCTGGTGGTGCGATCACTTCTGCCGCGGCTCGCCTTCTGGCAGCCGTCGTGGGATCGATCGCGTCTTGCTGCATGCCTCCTTTCTTCCATGCGCGGCGGCCCGCTGGACCTCCGTGCGCGCTGGCCCCCAGCGCCTGAAAAAAAGACAGCACCACCGGACCTCCAGACTGCCCCAAGAGTGGCCCAAGGCGTTCCCAGCGAGCCCCAAGACGGCTCTGAAGGGCTCCGGGATCGCCCGAAGACGGCTCCGAGAGACCACCCACGAGGCCTCCAGGGTCGCTGGCCAGCTCTCGAGCTGCCCAAGGCTGCCCATGCGAGCCCCAAGATGGCCCAAGAGTGGCGCAGACCACTCCAAGAGCCGATCCGAGGCTTTTCCCAAGATAAAACAATCGATGATCGGCCACAACTGCGTGCCCTTCCACAGAGAGACAGGGCGCGGCAGTGGATCGCCAAAGGTGCCTTCGGTATGTCTGCCTCTTTTTCCTTTTCCTCTTGCACCTTCCCTGACGGCCCCGCGTCCTCAACAGCCGAAGGACAGTCCAAGAGGGCTGAGGGCAGCCCAGGACGTCCCCAAGATGACCAACAATCGCTCCAAGATGTCCCAAAAAAGCTTCGGGACGGCTCCACGAGGTCCCGAGAAGGCTCGAGATGCCCCCGTCGCTGTGGAACGGGAAGAGAGAGGGCGCGATCGGAGAGGGCATCAGCCTTGCGTGGGAGAGCGAGAGAAAGAGAGAATAATAATAGGAAGAGAAGAGAAGAGAAGAGAAGAGAAGAGAAGAGAAGAGAAGAGAAGAGAAGACAAGAGAAGAGAAGAAAAGAGGAGAGACGAGAAGGGAAGAGACGAGAAGGGAAGAGAAGAGAAGAGAAGAGTAAGAGAGAGGACGAGATACAGAGAGAGACAGAGAGATGAAGAGAGAGGAAGAGAGAGAGAGAAGAGAAGAGGGGTACACATATGCATACATTCCATGCCCACCTCTGGTCAGCGTTGTCCTGCGCCAGGAGAGGAGCCCCGACGATCCTTTCATGGCCGCCTGCCACGAGGTCACCCCCTCTCAGCGCATACCGCGCCAACCTCTCGCCAGCGCTGCCCTGGGCGAGGCGAGGCCCCCTGGTGATGCCTCCATCGGCATCTGCCAAGCCACCCCCTCCGACATAGCTGCACGCGCCACGCCTACTCCGCCCACGACGCACACACGGACACGCACAGACACACACACACAGGCACACACACAGACACACACACACAGAGACACAAAGACACAGGCACAGGTACACAGACACACACACAGGCACACACAGACAGACAGACGCAGACACACACCCAGACAAACATACATAGATGCACAGCCACACTTACAGACACGCATTGACACACCCACACACCAGTATGACGACTCGCACCTGCAGTACGCTTACCACAGCTACACAGACCAGTGCCACAGAGCACAGGGGCTTCAGTGCACGGCACCCCACGAAACGATCATGAAGTGATTCCTGTTTACAACAACCCGCATGCAACACATATGCTCAAGATTATTGCGCGCGCGATCCGAAGCATCAGGATTATCGCAGAGGGGGCTTCACTGACAACCTGGCGGCAAGCGAGTACGAGCGCAGGTGCCCATGCGGTAATCACCCGACAATTGCAGTCCACCTCGTACACATGGATGTTTCGCAGTTTTTCGAGGCTGCGTCGATCGATTGATGATTTGCGCGCGAGAGAGAACAACTACTCAACATAATGGAGCAAACGTTTGGCAAACACGCAGCAATGGTCTCAACGTCTGCACGTGGACGGGTCGAGCCGTAGCAGTAGCATCATATAGTATATACCATGTAGTCATTTTTGACGGTATGCGGTGTGGTTTTGATGTTTGCCTTCACGACGACACGTTCTTCGCAAGCTTTTGGGGTGGCCCATGGGAGCCTTCTTTGGATCTTCTTTGTCCGTCTCGGGCTGACGGAACCCCGACGCGAACAACCTTCACACACCGACGGAACAGGT